ATAGGACGCACAGTTCCCGCTCCCCCACTGTCTGCAATAACTCAGCACGCCACTATCTCTAGAGTCCTGTGCCAAGCACAGAAACGCGCCAGCCTTTACCCTCACGGCTCCCTCCTCTACTTACCCTCATTCCACACAGACAGTTGCCTTCACCCTCTGCTCCCATCATGGTCTTGACTTTGTCTTCAACGATCACACTCACTTCTTAAGTTTGAAGAGCACGTCCACTCTTTAGGAGCACACTCAACAGCCCTACGCTTTGGGATCCTGCTGGAGAAAACTCGATCACTTCCCAACCGTTCTCCAGGTTTGTGTTGTCTCCAGTCCTGCATTCTTCTGGCCATGTTTCTATTTACTACTGACTCTCGATATATAACCTCACTTTTCACTTCACAGAGAAAATAGGGGCCCTCTGAAAGGAAATTGCTTAATGGCAACCCCTCTTTCCTCTTCATGCCACCTGCAGCCATCGCCTCTTCCTCCTTTGTATTGTCAGTAAGGAGGTAGGACATCCCATTTATAGCCAACTCCAAGGTTGTTATCTGCCTTCTGTATCATCTCATCTCCTTCCATCATTATCCCGTTCATCCATGTGTTCATTTATTCTTCCATTTAAGGAGGATCTGGAGGAGACCCAGAAAACGTAGCTATATTAGGCACTGATTTAAAGTGGTAAGGTCCTCTGGGAAGAGAGAAACAAGCTTGTGATGAGTTATGGTGAGGGTTATCTCCTGACAGTTGGGAAGCAGTGTCTTTAGATGTCCCCAGGACAGTGCTTAGCTCGCAGTCCCCGCTGATGTCCCTGGATCCACACTCCACTTGGACTCAGTGAGTGAGATGGCATCAGGCATGACAGTATCTGCCCTGAGGTGCATGGTCCCTCATCAAGGCTGTCCTGGGATTTGCTGGAGGCTGATGGGAAAGCATGGGTTGACGCTGAGGGCGTGGGTTGACACTGAGGCATGGGTTGATGCTGAAGGCGCTGGTCTCCTTCTCAGGGGAAGAAAAGTGAAGTTGATACAGAGAGCTGGGAGACTCCAGCAGTGTCTGAAGACTTTGGGGTCTGATACACTGTGCATATCTGTCTCTATGTCTCTCTCTCTCTCTCTCTCTCCCCTTCCATTTCTCCTTTCCTCCTTCCCTCCCTCCCTCTTCCATCCACCCTCCTTTCTCTGCCTCTTGCTCTTCCTGATAGAGAAACAGAATGCTGAATAATCATGATTAACTTAAAATGTTAAGTCCAAGATATAGCACAATTCAGATAACAGAATCACTCAGCCTCTGACAAACTGTCACAACCATATCCCAGTGGCACAGGATACTGATGTAGCAGGAATCTTAAAAATTCTTATTAATAAGAACAAACCTGGAGCCAGGTATTGGGGTGAATGCTGGAAGGTCAGAAAAAGAGCAAGCCACAGCCACCTTACCTCGCCGATTCCTCAGCTGATCCTGTTTCCTCAGACTGGAAGCCCCTGAGTCCTCATCTAGAATGAATCTCAGCTGACTGCTGCTAAAAGCCTAAAATCTTAACCAGGCTATAGTTCCTCGTCCTTATGCTTTAAATACCTTTCTGCCTCCTGCCATTACTTCCTGGGATTAAAGGCTCTTGTTACCATGTCTGGCCGTTTCCAGTGTGGCTTTGAACTCACAGAGATCCAGGCTGATCTCTGCCTCTGGAATGCTAGGATTAAAGGCATGTGTGCCACCATTTTCTGGCCTCTGTATCTAGTGGCTGTTCTGTTCTCTGACCCCAGTAAGTTTATTAGGGTGCATAATATTTTGGGGAACACAATACCACCATATACTAGTGCTTTGGAGCTAAATTAAAACAAGTGAATGACTTAGTCAAAGTCATACCGCTGTGTGGCAGATTATTTGAAAGGACATAGTTGGTGGCAAATAGAGTTATAATCCCAACATCTAATCCCAACAGATTTCTTCCCCTACAATAATGAATGGCATGGGTATGGAGGGTAGAAACCCAGAGCCAGACAAGCAGCAGAGCTAAGAAGGGCTCTGAGTTTTCTAGTTTACACTGTTAGATGGATGGTAGTGCTGGGTCTGTGCTGATTAATAAAGATACCTGAAGGGAGAGGAGAAAAAGTCATTCAACTCTGGATATATTTGGTGCAAAGCATGTCCAGGTGGAGAAGAAAAGCCCTGGCTCAGCACATTCAAGGACGCGCCTCTCATAGAGAACTCTCGCCCAACTTCTGAAATATCGGTGCTCTACAACTTTTCTATTCCTTTTTAATCATTAGATGTCCTGTACTGAAGTCTCTAAGTATTAAGTGGAAATTTCTCATACACACACACACACACACACACACACACACACACACACACACACACACACACACACTATTCTACCCTGTTCTGGGTAACTCTCTGAAAAACATCCTCTTTACTTTCCAACAACTACTCCATGTACTGAAGTTGGGAATTATTCTCCTCTTGGGGCATTTTTTTTTTTTTTTGCTCTAAAGCCTCACAGCTTCCTGATACCAAGATTGGGCAGGCTTCAGTTCCTGCTAATCATCCCTCTGCCACAGTAGGCCTTTTACATCATCTCTTCTACCTAAAGGGGTGCATCTTGGATTAGGGTGGGCCTTTAATGTACTATGGCAGATGCTGTTATAGGAGATAAAAAAGGACTATGCTGAGAAAAACAGAGAAGGCGGCCTGAAGAAGATGCAGGCTGAGGTTGGAGGTGGACAGTTACAAGCAGAGGTCTGTTCACAGCCACTAGGACCCAGAGGAGGGAAAGACAGATTTCCTCGAAGACTTTGGAGGACCGTGCTTCTGACAGTGTCTTGAATTTGGACTTCAGCACTCCATAAGTGTTAGGAAATACATCCCTGTTGTACAGTGCAAGCTGGGGTGACTCGTACTGAGAGATGAACACAGCAACCAGGACTCACACAGGTTGAGGGGAGCCACACCTGGTAAATCCATTGACACGGGTTCTGCACTTAGAATGTTCCTGGGTTCTGAAGACTCAGACACAGAAAATTAGGGCCATGGGTTTGGAAAGGGAACAACTTAGAATTTTACTGAGTTACTAGTATATATCTGTAAACTAAGAAGTATTGAGTAGCGATGTTTTCTTTAAAGATTATTTATTACTTTAGGTGTTGTTATTTATGCATAGGGGTGTGTTATTTGTGTGCATGTGTGCCACCATTGTGTGCAGGTCATTGGAGATGAGAAGAGGGCATACTCTGGAGCTAGGGTTACAAGCAGTTGTGAGTCACCCTGAGTGCTTGATGAGAACTAAGAAGGATGTGCATTTGGCAATGCCTGGATGACCCCGGCCCTCGCAGCAGTGGCCCTCGCCCAAAGCAGGACTTCCTTCACAGTTTGTTACACAGGCTGCTTTCTTACCACACTTCTCATCCCTGTGCCTGGCAGACAGGAGGACATCTTCTTGGCCTCTGTGTCAACTCTACTTGTAGTCTAATCATACTATACTGCACCTTTCCATGTCTCACTCAGACACAAGGCCACATCACCCCCATCAGCCTTTAAAGGATGGTGACTTCTGGTAGTCTGATACTTTCTCAGCATACCACTTCTGTGTTGAGTAAGTGTCTTGAAATTATTGTCAAAATATCTATGTTTGTTTGATTTTTTCCCCTCCAGCCTTCTCATCTACATCTTGCTCATTTCCAAGTCCAGCCTTACTTTTCCTAGGCCAAATCTGAGTCGCCCTTGACAGCCCCATGCCTCCCACAGCTGGGATGATTTAGGTGTCCTACTCTACCTTGACCAGACCAACCAGGTTGAACACTGAGACTGCTGTGTCTCAGTGAGCCCTTCAGTCCCCAGTGAACCAAATGACTCGTGGGTCACCCTACTTAATTCCTGCAAAATACCCTTTCACGGTTTGAGTCTAATCGTATCTCCTGAGAGCTCGTGTGCTGGAAGGTTTGGTTTCTCATCAGTGGGCTCCTGAGTGGTGATGAGATCACCAAGGCCTCTAACTTTTCCATGAGTTAGCCAACTGATGAATTTACGAATTCCCAGCTGAAAGAATTATGAAGAAGTGGGACTACATCAATAACTTGGGTGTGCCTTTGGAGGGTGTTTCTTGCTTCTGGTCCCTTCCCACAGTTCTCTCTGGCCACCACAGGCTGTGTTGATATGATACTGTCCCTTTGTGTTGTTTTCTCTTCCTTAGACTTGAAAACCACCAGAAACAGGCAGCCATGGGCTAAGTCTTCTAACTCCATGAGCCCAAATAAACCCTTCCTTCCCAGAGTTATGTTTCTGAAGTGTTTTGTCAAAGCAACAAAAAGTGACTAACACAGAACCCTTCAGTTTGACTTTCAAAAATACTCCAGCTCCAAACATTTCTCATTGCTTCTGACATCTCCATCATCTAAGCAGCTGTCATAACACTTTCTTGGCAATGTCTCCTACTTCTCAAATTCCCCTTCCTCCTCCCTTTACATGCAATCACTTCTTAACCGTCCCAGCCAACCTTTTAGGGATGGTCTTGCGTACCCTGCGTTGGCCTTGAACTTGCTGTATAACTCAAGATGGCCTTGAACTTCTGATTCTTTGGTCTCTACCTCTACCTTTCAATGCTGGGATTACAGGCCTATACCGCCATACCCCGCATATACGCTTTTCTGGAGCTGAGTGCTCTGCCAACTGAGCCACATCCTCAGTCCTTCTTTACAGTGGTTATTAGTCATATTAATTAAATTCCATAATAGGTTTCATTGTGACATTTTCATTCATGTATATGATCTATTCTGATTGTGTTCACCTCCTTAACCTTTGTTATCCCTATCTGACTCCTGCTGGTCGACTTCTCTTACCAGTTAACACCACTTCTACCTTGATATCTTTTTTGTTTCCCACAAACTGCATTAGGCTTGCTTAAAGGAGGATGGACGAGAGGTAATGGATAGGTGCACGGGCGGCCGACCAGTGGCTATCACTTTCTGAATATTTATTTATGCTTTCCCCTGTAGATTAATGTTACTCACAGTCTTGGTCAAGAGGCTTCTTACAGTGGGCAGTGGCTGCTTCAGGGCGACGCCTAACTGGTCCAAATGCCAAGAATAGGTGGCTGCTGAGTGCACATCCCTAAAGAGGCATCCAAATCAATGGTTTTTATCAGACCATGTATGTTAGTTTCTGGAGTAGTATATATTTCCTTTATGTGTCTATCCTCCACTTCTCAACCTCACTGTTGCCAATAATAGTTTATAAAAACAGAGTGAGTGTTGTTGGTTAACAGCTGTATCTCCTGTCCTGAATACAGACCCAGGACATGGCTGTGAAACACATCTCCATTGGTCTCTGTGTGATACTGGCTCAAGTTTCCATCAGGTGAAGTTCGTTTCTGTGCAAGTCCTTCATCCCATGGCCTGTCGGTGTGGTGCAAGGCTATGCTCCCTGGGAGTCTGAGTACTCTAGTCCAAAGAGAATCCCCTCATTGGATTTCACAAGTCTCCTAAGAATAAGGAATGGGAAAGAATGTTCCCCTGAAGTTTTCTATTGTCGATTCCCTCTGAAGGGTCCCAAGAAAACACTGGCAGTCCTCCCAGAATTCCAGTCTGGAGTCAAGGTATAGTGGGAGTCTCTCTTGTCAGATCTAGAGCTACCTACCCACTAGAAGTTCCCTTTTGAATCGAGTTGTACCTGGGTTTGTCTCTCCCCTGTTGCAAATTTTTGTGACACAAATGCCTTAGTCATGTCTGAAGTCAGCACGGTATCCTGTGACAGTATTTTTTTTTTAAAAAGAAATGTCAATCAATCACATTCTGTAAGAAGAAATCCCAACAAAAGGTATCAGAACTTACCAGGCAATTGCTTATGGGAATTAAGTGGGCGTGCTCTGGGTCTGCTGTGTGCTGCAGCTGGCATGTTGAGCCTGGCCATTGTGGACAGGGAGAAGAACAGCGGTTGCCTGTGTTGGCCCATCAGAACTTAATTGCCCGTGTATCTTCTGCCTCTGGGCTTTGGCAAAGGGATGTTTGCAGCCCAATTAGCCTCCAGGTTCCTCAGATTTGGTTTTGTAGCGATTTAGCCCTGCAATCTACAGTAGGAATGACGCATAATTAGTGGAGCAGTGGTGAATCACTCCACAGAGGTGGGTCTCTGCCTCCTACCAAGGTGTCTAAGAATAGCTCTTGCAGACATGTTCTCAAGAATGAAACCAAATGCTTCGACTATAAAAACTCCTCCCGGGGACTAACAAGAAACCATGATGAGAATCAGGAAAAATAATTCCTCAGCATGCAAGCTCTGTACTGCAGACACTGGGAGAACCAGAGAGGCCATTTCCATGGTGTAATTGTGGGCATTTTATGATAAAAGAAGATGGTCGATTGCTGCTCATTATATAGGCAAAAATTATCCAAATTTGTACTTTTAACTTTGCAGAATAATCAAAGGAGTTTTGCATAACAGTGAGCGACTTCAGTATGGTCACACATGATGGAGAGGGGGTAGAGGTGGAATGGGCGGCCAGTTGTCAAGTGGTGACAGATTCCAAACCAACTTCTCTACCACTGGCAGCAAAACCCAGCCTGGGAGAGGCAGTGAAGCTCAAACACATGGGTGGGGGTGGGGAGATGGTCTCACATCAGCAGCCACCAGAAAGAGCAGAGAAAGGATTGCTCAGAGCACAGCTTGGTTCAAGAACATGATTCAGTGGTCATGCTAGAAGGGAACTAGGGACTTGGATGCCTTCATCTTCTCCATGTTGACAGCAGCAATGGGGGGGGGGGTGAAAGGAAGGGGTAGTTACACTTTAATTTACAGAGGAGGGCCATCCTGGTGACCATAGGCCATCCTGGTAACCACAGGCCATCCTGATAACCACAAGCACATGGGGTCCATTCCCTTCAGGGAGGGAGCCCTGAGAAGGACCCACAGGAGAATGAGAGCTGTGGGAAGTATCAGCTTTATGTGTACAGCCAGGATAGGATTCTATGTTGATCACATTTCAAGCCTGGAGGGCTGGGCAAAGTCAGCTGGACATTAGCTTCTTTTGATGATTTTGAATTGTGTAATTGTTCTCCTTTTAAGAACACATCTTAAAATTCATTCTTTGAGGATTCATTGCAATGTGGGCCTGTTCCCAACCACAGAGACTTACGAGGAGGGGTTGAGGTGATGTGCCCCTACCTTAGATTCTTCCATATAATTCATTCTCAGCTTGCCATTGTTCCTGCACAAATCCCAGTAATCAGATGAGGTCTTGGGGTATACCTATGGACTGATACCATAATAAGTGGGTTTTGGTTTTGCCCTATTAAACTTACATAGCAAACTGTTTCATTCATCTTTCTCATTGATGGGTATTTGCCATGTTCAGATGTTAAGTTTCTCTTCTTTGTCAGATATCCAGAATCAGCACACTGCTGTACTCAGCGTACTACCAACAATGTTCCAGGGAGTTCTTAGCTGAGAGGTTAACCTGGAGAACACACTGTTTTCAGGGGAGGGACTCAGCAATAGAAGACCCAGTCTGCAGTGAGCACCTGGGCTACAAGATCAGCGCAACTGACCTGGCTTAGTACAACCTGTGTGTTTTGTAAGAAATGGCAAGAAATTTGGGTCATGTTTTAAGGATGCAATGGGACGGCAATGAGACAAAACATACTAATTAGAGGCACTGAATTTTTTTCCATTTGTTTTTTCTTTCTTTAATTGTTAGTAGTGCATCTGGTTATGAAGCTGTCAATGCTTTATTTATCTTTGTGTAAAGTTACATCTACATTTTAAAAACAACTTCCCTAGAGATTCTGAACAAATTTCTAAAGATCAGCAGTAAAATTTGTAATTATCAGCACTGGACAGAAACTACTCAGCATAGAGGGATCACCAAGGTCTCAGGTGAGCAGGCTTGTCTCTGCTTTCTGCCTGGTAGCCCTTCCCATACTCATTCACCCACAAACATGCTTTCTCACACTCATTCACCCACAGACATGATTTCTCACATTTATTTACCCACAGACATGCTTTTTCAAACTCATTCACCCAAGACATGCTTTCTCACACTCATTCACCCACAGACATGCTTTCTCACACTCATTTGCCCACAGACATGCTTTCTCACACTCATTCTCCCAAGACATGCTTTCTCTTGGAGAGTTTAATAGATTTCAGCATTTCATATGCTCTAAACCAAGTGATTCCCATGCTTACACAAGTAAAATACAGATCAGCATTTGTGATAATAAGTTTGGGAGAGTTAATTCTGTTCTGTTGAAGTTTTATAATGTTAACCTGGATAAATGAGCTAAGGTTGCTTTTCCCTGACACTCTCCTGTCAATTCTCATGCAATAGGTACCTTGGCAATAATGCCATGCCTGTTGACATTATGTAAATGTTACAGTCATTGTGTTACTGTGGGTAAAGCATCATTCCAGGTTAGATTTTCTAAATCAGAGAATAATTTCTAGTAGTAGATTCTACATGCACTCAAACACACACACACACACACACATACACACACACACACACGCACACAACCCTCTACTCTTCCCAACACTCGTATCCATCCATCCATCCATACATGTATATTCAAAGGTACAGACTCACATGTGCCAACACACACACAGGTCCACACATATATGTACATATATATACCTCATATTCCTCTCCCCCTTCTCTCGAACACACATGCATGAATACATGTACACACACGCATACACACAGATGGAGGGGGAGAGAGAGAGGTGTGTGGGGGGAATCCCTGCCACTTGGAAGCATTGTCTCAAGGCACCATGCCCCTTGGAGTTTGGCCCTCAGAGAAGTTTGACTGCCCACTGCTGTGCTGAAGGACCCCCTGCCATTCCCAGTACAGCCTGCTCTACATCCTGGGAAAGCCTCCTGCCTGTACACAATATTCTGCCTATTCTGTCGTTGTTATCAAAGCTGTGGTCCAGCTGTGGATTGAAAGAGGCAGGAAGCAGCTGCTGGGCCAGATGGACAATCTCTTCTTGTGGGATTTACACATTTCAGGATAGAAAAACATCTGGACAGTGGTGATAAAGCAAGGCTCTCATTTCTCTCTTATCTGGGGGAAATTGTAACAAGCTCGCTAACCTGGGAGTCCAGTTCAATCTAGTTCCATCAGGGACATCTACCAGTGACTCAGAAAGGAACACTCAGCTTCATTACACTTCCCAAATTAAGACAGAGCCTGAAATCATCTTGACTCAGAACACAGAGGCCAGAGAGGATTTATTGCCATGCTCAGGTAACAGGTGAAATGCTTGGCTGGGAAAGGAACAACTCCTTTCCCTGGTGTGAGATCTGCCTTATGGTGTGAGTAGGCTCTGGACTTAGAAGCTGAAACTGAGTTCCTTCAGAGAGCTGCCTGTGCTCAGCCCTGCTGTTAGACATACCTTCTTCTGCACCTTGAGTGCTGGGCCTTTTATAGTGAACCTGTGATGGCTTCTCGAATTTGGGGAGCTCCAACCCCTCCTATTCCTGTTAATCAGGACAAACAGCATCCCATGGACATATCCTACAAAATTCAAAGCTTGCATGTACTCGAGGTCAAGTAGGAAAATAACATGGAGACCCAATTGACTTCAAAACCTTGGAGCTGGGAAGAACATGAAAACCATGGTATTCTGGCCTCCTGTCTAGTTTTCCCTGCTGTGTCCATGGATAGTGGTCATATCTGGATGTTCTTGATATTAGGGAGACAGTATTTTTTAAAAAATTTTTTTTTCACTGAAAACATTTTTCCCTCTATAACATATCCTGAGTATGGTTTCCCCTTCCTCTACTCTTCCCAGTTCTTCTCCAGCTCCTCTCCCACCCAGACCTAACTCCTTTCTGCCTCTCGTTAGAAAACAAACAAGCTTCTGAGAAATTATAATGATATGGCAGTATGAAACAAGGGACCTTCAAAGATGCCATTGAGTTTGTTTGGTTTGGTTTTTTTTGTTGTTGTTGGCCATCTACTACTGGGCATGCAGCCTCTTCTTAAGAGTAGTCTGTTTTCCCAGTGAGACTCCCTTGGAGAAAACTAAATTTTCATTTGCAAGTGGTTATCAATTAGAGATAGCTTCTGGGTTGGGGATGGGAGCCTGGGTCTGTGGCAGGGTCCTGTGCTGCTGTTCTCTTTGGGGGAGGGGGCCAAGTAGGCACAGAATCAATGACACAGACTCTGGGAGAATGTCAAAGCAACAAGCTCAGTTTATTCAGGAAGAGGCAAGCCTTATATAACCTCTACCTCACCCTGGGGGAAGGTCTGATGAATATGCATCTGCTGGTGTGACATGGCTGCCTCTCATTGGTCCAGATCATCTCCAGATCATGTCTCAGCTGCTGTTGCTAAGGCCCTTAGACAGGCCAGGTTGGTTCTCAGTAAATATCTTTTTTACTGGTTTCGGCCGGCTGGCTCTCAAGCCTGTTAGGGATGAGTCATCCCACACGGGTCTACTTCTCTTTTTAGCTCTAGCACCTTATCATGTACAGGTCCTGTGCATACTATCTCAGTCTCTGAGATAATATGTGCATCAATCCTTTGTTTAGAAGGTCTTGTTTCCTTGGTGTTCTCCATCCCTTTGTGGCTCTTATATCTTTTCTGCCTCCTCTAATGTGAGTTCCCTGAGCCCTGAGGGGAGGGATTTGATGGAGACAAATCTATCAAGGGCTGAGTGTTCTGAGGTCTTTAACTCTCTGCACATCTGGTTGTGGGTCCCAGTATTTGTTCCCATCTGCTACAGGAGGAAGCTCCTGTGATGATGACCAAGCAAGGCACTGATCTAAGAGTTTAGCAGAATGTCATTAGGAGTCATTTTCTTGCTATGTTCCTTTAGTAAAACATTAGTATTTGGTTTTCCCCTATGTTACCGGGCTATCTAGTCTCAGGTCCTTAACCACCCAAGGACCTAGACTCACAGACTGGGCCGTAAGTCAAATCAGATGTTGGTTGGTTACTCCCATGAGCTTTATGCCACCATGGCACCTGCATATCTTGCAGGTAGGACACCACTGCAGATCAGAGTGTTGGTAGCGGGGTTGATGTTTGGCAACATGCAGAGTACCTTCTGATACCAAGAACACTATCTGACATGTGCTCAGTTTCTCTGTGTTCACTGGGTTGTGTAGGTGTTGTCTTCAGCAGCAGAGGCCTTGCCATC